GACAATATCGTTGTTATTAGTCATCAATTAATTATTAATCATTATTATCGACTATTATTATTGTTAATTACTATCATTAATAGTAAAGATAATAATTATCTTGACTAATGTGACTAATGTGACTGATATGACTAATATGGCAGAAACAAAATGTTATTTTTCTAATAATTAATTTATTTGACAATTTTTTTTTATAATTATTCAAATTATAACTATTAAAAACATTTAAAACTCATATTTTTTATACGAAACTTTTGCTTTTTCACAACGGCATTATACTTATCAAACATTAATGAAATGTAAGAATGATAAACGAAATGTCATTCCTTTTAAACCAAAATTAATGAAATGATTAAAGCTATTCTATACAAATTTGATAAATTGATATTTGAATGAGTTATTCTTCCAACTTTACTGTCTCCATCTATCCTAAAATTTACAATTTATGAATTGTTTTTATAAAATCAAACAAAAAAATTTTTTGGTCATTTTTTTCCAGCCAAAGAAGAAATTACCTAAAGGATTGAACGTAAAAGGAAAAAATAGAGAAATTTATCCACAAAAATCAGATGTTTGCAATATTTACAATTAAAACTTAAAAAAACAATTAAAATTTAATTATAATTCTTGGATATATTAATTTATGGCTAAATTTCAGTTCACGTATAAAATGATACGATCGATCATGATTGCCTCATTTTTGTCATGCCCTGCTATTTGTCCAATCTGTCTTCTGATTTGTATCATTTACCCGTGTTATTTGTTTTGTTAATCTTGTCCCATCTATCCTGATTATTTGTTCCACCTAACTTGATATCCAACCCATTCATCCAGCATTCTTATCCATCTATCCTAACACCGCTCCCACTAATCCCAGTTATAAGTCCCATCTATCTTGGCTAATAAGCTTATTCTTAATTTTACTCGCAAAATTTCGCTATACACATAATATTATATAATACTAAGTAATAAGTAACGAGTAATCAATATATATGCAAATTTTTAATGAAACTTAATCACTCCAAGTTTTACAATTAATAAGAAACCAAAAATAATCAAAATGATATATTAATAATAGCAAAAAATTTCATTTTTTTCTAAAATTCAATAATACTAAAAATGAAACGAAAAAAAAAATTGGCAAAAGAAGAAATTGATGTCAGCATAAACAATGGAAATGACAGTGACAGAGAGAGAGAAAGAGGGAGAGAAAGAGATGAAAGGTGAGGTCGACGATGGTCAAATTTCGTTATCAGTAATATAATCTTTACAATGCTATTGCTCTTCCTCATTTGTTAATTATTACAATTTCCGTTAATAGCGCTTACTATTAGAATAAATTTGTAAATTGCTTTCAACAGAATATATTTCTGATCTGATTAAGCAAGAACTGATAACACATTCATAAATCAAATCGATTTATCATGATAATGATAAAACTTTCATGATAATCGATCCGATAGCCATTTACACGATAATAATATGATGATTTCCTATCATTCATTCTCATTAATTATGCAAAACTTTCATTTATTCAAGTCTTATAAAAATTCGTCTTTTTCTTTTTCAATTTTTTCTAATGATGAAAATATATTCAGTCATATTTGATTGTATTTTTGAGCTCAATATTTTTACACTTACTTGCTATCTTTCTGATGGTTAAAGCTTAAATTTTCAGCTTCTAATTAATGTACTTGTGTCAAAGGTCAAATTTTCAGCTTCTAATTAATGTATTTATCAACAAATTGTCCCTAGTTTAACATGGATAATAATTAATTATTTTTGCTACCGTACATGTTCAAATTTACCAATCAAAATATTTAATTTAGAAATTTTTTCTGCATAATCTTTAACATTAACATTTAAAATTTTTTGTATAACAGTTTAATTAATTAAAGCATTAGTTGAGATACAAAAGAAATGAATCAAAAAATATTATGAATGAAATTATTTCTTTACTGTGAATGAATGATATGATATGATTGATGAAGTATTAGCTAGAAATAATGATTATAATCATTAAAAATAAAACCGGTAATCTAACAATAGCAATAAAATAGTAATAATAATAGTAATAGTGTTAATAACGAAGTTTTAAATTAATGATCGAAGACATGAAACATGTTTAGAATAGTAATACACATATCCTCAACCATATCAAGATTTTTATTTCGAATTTTAAGTCCCTGAAAAAAAAAATGAGAAATGTAAATAAGGTAGTAGCAATAACAAAAATAGCTGCTATATAATTACTAAATAAATAATTTTTAGTTATACTTTGGCTTTGATGATTATGATAATATTTTGCAACAATAATAAACAAATGGCAGACAAAAACAAAGAAAAAAAAATTGTTGTCAAATTTTAACAAGAAATTTAATATTAAGTCATATTAAATATTTATCCAAGAGTAACTTCCAATTGTTGATTTCATTATCACTAATTTTATTCAAAAGAAATATAAAAATTGCATAAAAAATAAAAATTTCTTTTTTAGAAAAAAATTTAGCAAAAATTTTAAAAATACAAAAAGATTTGAGAAACATAAAAATTGCCTCTAAATTTTGAATTCAAATTTCAAATTAAATGTTAAATTTTTATATTTTTGGAGGAATGTATATGAATAAGCATATAGGTGAAATTTCAATGATTAGTAGTCGCAAGCAAAAGAGGAAAATCACAGATGCTGCCTGAAAAGCTAAAGGATAGCGGTAAAATGAACAGCTGTTCAAGTATATTTATCAAGTAAGATTAATGATAAGCTTAGGTTTGAGGATATGATAAGAAAGGTGAAAGAGAAGAGTAAGAGATATAAAATGTAGAATGAATGCGCTCGAGCTCGATCGATAACAATGATAAGGACAACAACAGTTTAAAGTAGGAAATGTACTAATTTTCGAAAAACCTACAAGTAATACTTGTGCAATAATGTTTTCGGTATATTTAGGAAATAAAATTAATTAATTAGTTCTTAATTTCTGTTTAGACAATAAAAAAGAAGAGAAGGGTCATTTATTTGATGTTGTAACAATACATTTCAATAGATGAACAGTGAAACAGGAAAAGGAAATTGGTCTTAATTAATTGATTAACTTTTTTAATTTCGAATTTTATTTTTTATGTTTAGATAGTGTACTCGAAAGTCACATGATTGAATCATTTGGAATAAAAACAAGGAAAAAAGAAAATAGAAGAAGGAAGAAATGAAGGAAAATTGCAAAAAAAGTGGAAAAAAGAGATGCGACAAAATCGGGACAACTGAATTTGTGATATCAATGATTTTTATCATGAAATTTGAGTGGTAAAATGTCACATCCAATGTCGCATCCATCGTTATAGCACAGGGTAAGGACATGAAATGATCGGATGCTTCAAATGAACTAGATATAAGCAAAAAGTGTCGCTAATTTGAAATTTTACACTTGTACTTTGAATCTAAAATAAATGATATTTTATCTAAATTAAAGTTTTTTTGCAAATTAAAGTTTTGGTTAATTGTGGAAAAAAAGGAAAAGGAAAAGGAAAAAGGGAAGAAAGAAATGTAACAAATTGTAAACGACTGGTTGGATAAATTAGCAAACAAAGTTTTAAAACTAGTTTATTTTAAAATTTCATCCCTAACAATTAAGTAAACTTTAACCATTAAAATTCTTTTAATCTTTATGTTTCCATCTAAAATATTGCACAATTCATTGTTAATTAATCCGAAACCCATAATTAGTTAAGTGATTGTTATCCCACCTTTTACTCCCAAAAAGTTCTGTGATATAACCCTGTAATACAACCAGGTAGATGTCATTTTCAAAAAATAGCCAGCATTCTGGATGCTTGAATCGTTTAAGCTAATACATATCCTGATTTTTTCCATATACCTAATGTCTGCTGCTTTCTGTTAGACTTATTTCAAATTAACCTGGTTAAATCATCCTGATTTCTTGATTTCTTTGATTTATTTCAAACTAACCTGATCAAATAATTTTAGTTATTTAAGCTTTTAAAAAACTTGTCTGACAAAATCATTTACGATATATTGTTTATCCAACCATTCGATGAAGTAGTCGGCTTTATGTAATTACAATGTTGTAAATAATGATGCAATTATTTCGAGATTTATTAGCATTTTATTAGTTTACAATAAAAGTAAAGAAAAATGGAGGATGAAAAAGAAACGAATAATAGAAACTGTTTCCTTGTTTAGTAAAATTAATTTCAAATTAAACTTAAAAATTGATATGAAATGCATAATAATCATTTCTTATCAAATTCTTTGCAGTATTTGTGAGATATTTGAACTAAATAAACACAATGATTTGAATTCGTATGTGCATATTGTTTTGAACTTATATGTATTAATCATAACTAATATATGTATTCATTTCAATATGCCATTGATTGACTGATAAGAAATGATTTATGTTTATGTTTTTATGAAAACAAAAATAATGCAATAAAATGCATAGGATGTCAAATTGTTACATACGATATGATTGATAATTAAACTTACATAAACAAGCAATTCCACCTGGTTTCTTGTTGAAGGTGTCGAGCAACAGAGGACAATTGTGATGATGAGAATCGATGTCTAAAAAAAAGAAAAAAAGAAGTTGACACAGTTTAGATGACACATTATAGTTCAAATAATTTTGCTACTTTTTATTATTCACTCATATCATATTATATTATAATGGGATATTACAAATAAATTTTGCATTCGTTCTAATTCGAAATAATATTTAGGGATAAATAATATTGATTGATTAAATGCAAAATGATGCAATTTTAGATTAATTAGCGTTTAATCATTTCAATCCAAAATTAAATTTCAATCCAAAACCAACCCGTTTTTCTGATAGTGGAAGGGATTAACTACGTGAGATTATTTTCGAAACAACCTAAGCAGAAATTAACTCTAATTAAATCGACTAAATTTATTAATGATATAATTGAGTTCCTCCACATTTATAATGCAATTTATTTCTTCGGAAGATTTTTTTTAATTCCCTTGAACATTCATTGTTTTGCTTAAATAATATTGAAATTTAACTAACTTTTTATTGCTACCAATTTACCAAATTGCATTTTTATAAAATTGAATCGAATTATCTATTAGATAAGCAACACTAATTCTTCCATTACTTTTTGAACATTTCATAAGAAAATGTTTGTATTTAAAAATTGATTTTGAAATTTTACGAAATGCTAAAAAGGATGTTGATGAATGTTGCAACTATAATTGGGTTAAAGGTTTACGGTGAAAAGGGAAGGAAAAAATATCAAAACGAAAATGTTTCCTCAAAATTTTGACAATTTCAAAGAAAAAAGAAAAAAAAAGCGCATCAATTCAATCAGCATGAAGTACAAATGGAATAAACTTGATTCATTTTTTTTAAAGAAATCAAAAATTTTTGTTTATTATTTCAGTTGATTATAAATCATTATTATAACATTCCAAATGATGTAGCAAAACTCTGATCCACCCAACCTTTCTTAGCCTTTGACCCTATATACCCGAAATATTATGCAAACTATGTTACCTTTTCGAATTAGACTATTTGATCCACCAGATGAATCCGTATTTGTCACTGTTGCTATATTTTGTCCACTTGCTAATAATTTCTGATTTGATATGTAAATTTGTTTATCCTGTAAAAAAAAAAAAAAAATTGGAAAAAGTTGGATTTTTTCACGTTAAATCTTATTAAAATTAAATGTTTATCAAATTTTGGGATTTTTCAATCAAAGAAAAAAAAATTGAATGATCAGAATTTCTCAAAAAGTGCTAAAAAATTCTGATAATTGGAAGATTGGATTAGCATTAATACTTTTACACTCATAAACACTTTTTTATTACTTATAAAATATAAAAATTAATTCATTTTTATGAAAGGATAAGACGTAACTGTAAGTAGCCTGAATATGTTACTAACTGGATTTACCGGAAATTTCCTAATAAAAAAAATTTTTTCATAATGCTGCTGACATGATAATGGCGATCATTCAAGTGACTCAAAAAATATTTGGCAGAGT